CAGCTGGCGATCGCCTTGCGGTGGCGGCTGCCGCTCGCTCCGGCTCCGTCGCAAGTCCTGCAGTGGAAGGGTGCAGCACGCGCGGGGGAAAAAAAGAAACAGCGGTGAGCCGGAATTTCTAAGGACGAAGTAAGAGAAACCGAGCCTTTTCAAGGAAGGATCGGAGGGTGAGCCGTCCTGGTTTCGCCGTCCCAGCTTGGTTTCGAAGGAAACAGGGGGTATCACATCGCTGCCTCCCAGCAGGGCTGGAAAATCGAGTTGAACTACACCCTCCGAGGCCACCCAGTTGCTCCTGGCTGTCCCACTCCTACCCGTGACAACCAAAGGCACAGCCCCACGCACAGCCATCTCGCTACACGCTGCCACCATCTGTCCCTTCCTCCACATTTTCTGCAACTTCCAGTCCCCTCTTCCTTCTCCACCACTGCCCTCCATCACTATGCTTTCCTGCGACGTCTCACCGCCCTCCGCCGCATCTCGCCCAGCCGCCCTCCAACACAGTTTCTCATTGAGCACGTCCACGGACCTGCTGACATCTCCTCCCAACGTCCCGCTCAACCACATCGCTTTCCAACCAAGCCCACTTAGAGCAAGTGATGAAACTTCTCCAGTGGAGAATTTTCAGAGTTTCAGGGTTTGGTTTTGGTTTGGTTTTTTTTTTTTTCAATAAAACCAAGGGAATTTATTAGGAAACACTGCCACACCACTTAAGGAGATGACGCTCCAGCAACTCTGGGGATAGCCGGTTTCCACGGGCAGGGCTCGGCAGGACACCGTCCCACACAGCCTCCTGCGGGGACAAGGACTCGACCTCCACGAAAGAATTGGGATCTGGAGGCATCCAAACCTCTACTGTCACGACGCAATGTGGCAACATCAGGCTCTGGTTGAGTCACGCTGGCATCCCATGTTCCACAGGGACGCACGAACATGGAAGACACTTTTCTTATATCAGATTTATTAGCAATAGCTGGAAGAAATTATAACAACCCAGGCTAGACGCCTCAGACAGCTTTGGCAGTGTTTGTTTAAAGGCAGAACAGTAATTATTGGCCTCCTCCCACTCCAGAGCTCTTTTGTTTCTCAAGGCCCTAAGCTTTATTTCAAGGACACAGGGACAGCCTTTCTGCACATCAATAGCCATAACTAATGTGCTTTATACACCGCATTATCTGGACACTATAATTTATTTTTTTTTTTCCCCAAGATGTGAACTGTGTCATATGAAGAGAAGGTGAATTCTCCAGTGACAGAGAGATGACATAAACATCGGCACGTACAGGTATGCACCCGCTTGCCCTACTAAGGGAAGAAATGTAGACGAGAAGCGGTATGTCCTTCTGAAGGCTGTTGCAGATAATTCTTTTTTAATAAGCAACCTGTTCTCAAGGCAAAAGGATATGTACTCGTCTTTATTTCTACATTGATAGAATAAAAAAAGAGAACGGAAAAGGCTAATTCCATAAAATAATCCTTTCTAACTATCACCGAGACAATCAGGAAGCATTTCTACCTGCCAACAGAGTATAGAGGATCCACAACGTTATATGTCAAGTCAGGTCTTACAGTGTACATAACTGGAGATTTAAGTCCTCTTTTCAGAAGCTATTTTTGGACCGTGCCCTGCTTTAATGCCCCTAAGTTAACACCCAAACAAGACCTACTTTCAATTAAACTGTAAGTGGGGGATAAACTATAATTAGTTGTCGCAAAAAATCACAATTCAACCATTCTGTTCCCCTCCAAAGTCAGCAGAGAAACACCCCCTGAACACCACGAAAGCAACAGTTGGACCACTGGTAAGTCCCTTGACGTGAGAAACTCCTATAAAAATTGAAATCTGCTAAAGCTCAGCCAAGTACGTTCCCCTGGTTTCTCAGAAATACTCCAGGCTATAATTCCATTTTAATTAAGAGCCTGCTCCTGACTTGAGGGGGAAGACAACCAAATCATTCCTTACCAAGAAGGACACGTTCCTTCCAAGAAATAAGTAGCTGAACGGCAGCGATAAGAGCCTTTACAATCAGGCATCGATGTTTACAAGGCAATCGCCACGTGCCTGAAGCCTCCTGCCTCAACATTTAATATTTCACCTATGACTTCATTTTATAGGGTATCATCTCTGCTAACAGCAACAAAACATTTTATAAGCTCTCAACCAGTACAAACAGTATATATGTTTCCAAAAAGGTGCAAGAAAAGCTGAAAAAATGACCCAGTACACATTTCTGGTACTGAGAGCTGACGAGGGAATGGCTCTAACAGGGACCGTTCTGTCCCAGACTTTAAAATTTGGCTTCTGATGGGCAGAACTTGAATTCAGACAGGGGGATAAAGGAGGATTAATGACCCAAGATCCTCCCACAAGTCGAGCTCCTCCTAGCTTTAAGGATTGTTGTGAACGTTTTGAATCTAAACAAGTTTGAATCCAAACAGCAACATTCCACTGGGCTTCGCAAGCTCAGGAGGTACTCGGCCTCAGCGAAACCACCCCATGCAGGCTCAAGAAGGTCCTCGGCACGAATTCCCAGGGCTGGATAACATCAGGGGACTGATAATATCACAAACCAAGTTTATTGATCCCCTCGGCAAACATTATGTGTTGATGGACACAGCTTCAAGTGTCCTGTGGGTAACTGCCAAAGACACCCCCTCCCCTCTCCCAACCATCTTCACTCTACAGCTCACATTCCCAGTACTCACCTCATGCTCATACCAGCACCGATTGGGCTACCGGACTGCCCGGGAGCCACTTGAACTCGTTTAGACTCCCGAAGACCAGCCCAGGGAAACAGCAAAATAGGTCTCCGCTGGCTGAGCGAGGAAAAGCAGGACCAAGCCTTTACAGGAACCACGAACAGTGGATGTATACTACGTTTGATAACACAGACGA